CTATTCAAAATCCAAACCTGATTATAACAACAAGAGCAGAGGTGAGCGCGAGGCAACGGGGCAGCACCTCTTCCCCTGCCACCCAGGAGCCCTTTGGGGACAGAGAGCTCTTTCGGGACACGCGAGTCTGCCCACATGGGGAGAGCAGCCCCCCCCAGGGGCAAACCCCGGGGGAACACGGGGGTGGCAGGAGCCAGTCAAGGTTTTGCCGCCCCAGGCTCCCTGACGCAGCACAGGGGTGCAGCTGTTGCAGCAAGCACCGGATTTAGGGGTTTAGGATCCTGCTTAGAAATCCCCGTACTTTTCCCATCTTGAGTTGAATGTCAAGAATTCTAATTGGTGGATATTAATAGGAGGAACTAATGATTATATTGGGAAAATCAGTCTCAAATGGAATAAATGATCAAATCTGAAATAAAATCTGTATTTCCAATGCTGCTGCCATGCTCCTGTGAAATCCCAGACCCGAGGTGTTCATTAACCAACGATCTCTTGGTGGGTAGAAACACGGACAGTCTGTTGTAGCCCCAGAGGTCTGCAAGGCAGGATTGACGGTACCCGCTGTGGATCATCTTTGAATCGTGACCAAAGCAGATCCGAGCCAGGAGCCAAGAGCCAAGGACATGTTCCTTGGCCAAACATGGTCCATTCAAGGAGTGGTCGAGACCTCCGACTCACGGACCACCCACCCAAATTACACCCCCAGCTCACGAGGGAACAGGAGAAGACTGCGACAGAGGCTGGGGACTAATTGCATCAGAAGCGAGGAAAGAAGAACCAACCACCGAGGGAATGACAATGAACATGCATTGTATAGACTGAATCTGTGTGGATTAATGTATAAATATTTGTGGATGGCAACGTGCAGGGGGGCATCGTTGGGAAGGATCCCACGGCCCCGGTGCGCACCGTTAACGAAGGACGTCCCTGCCGACCTGACGGTGTCAGAGGAGTTTTTCTGACCCACTGCGGGTTTGCCACACAGCCCCCCTGCCCAGGCTGCAAGGGGCCAGCTCGCGTGGCCCGAGGGCGAGCCAGAGGGAACACACACTCACCTCCTCGAGTCGTTGGAGAAGGCGAAGCCGTGGACGCCAGCGGCGTGGCCTTTCAACTCAAAAGCCCTGGTCACCTCCCGGAATTCTCCGTTCTTGCCAAAACACACCTCCCACACCTTCACGTCGGGGGTGAAGCCACAGGACGCCACGAACCTGGGCGAGCGAACAAGCGGAGACGCAGGGTACGCGTTACAGAGCCCCCCCGCTTCGGCCGAGCCCTGCAGGGCTCCCCTCCGAGCAAGGCAGGGGCAGGGGCAGCCCCCCTGCGCCGAGAGGCACGTCAGGCAGGGCTCTGGAGGCCAACCTCCCCAGGCTCCCACGCCGAAACCTTTGCTTTGGTCAGCTGGAAAAGTTTCCACTGAAAGCAGGCAGGTAAAGGGAACGCTGAGGGAGGTCACCAGGGACCGAAACAACTTAGGAATGAGAAATCCTTCGGCCAAAGTAAAAAAGCTCAACGCTTTTGATCCCCAAACTCACTGAGCTTGGAGCATGGCAAGTTAGGAGATAGAGGGGGGGGGAACAAGATGATAAACGAATGTCCCAATATTTTAATTTTATAATTAACCTTTTAAAGGTTAGAAGTGCTGTTTGCTTTGCATACATCATCTGCATTGTTCTCTGCTCTCGGAGGCCACTGCTGTTCTCCTCAGCTCGCAGGAGATGGTGAAGAGGAACAGCAGCGCTGAGGCACGACAGCAACCCACCAAGCGTCTGAGACTACTCAGGTGAGAGTCAGCACCCCTGGAAGGGCTGCTCTCAGGGCCCGGAATCCCTTTTTTTTTTTTTTAAAAAAAAAAGCATTAAAATTGCACTAAAATAACAGCTAACTGCCGATGGTCTGAACTGGTGACTGTCCTCTGGGAAGGAGCGAGGTTCCTGGTCGCTCCTGCAGCCTCGCACTCTCCCGCAGGAGCAGCCTGGAACGCCTCCCACCCCTCACCTCCCGCAGGGCGACACCGTGGCGTAGGCGTTGTTCATCTGGTTGGTGTTGATGCTGGCCAGGACTTCCCCCTTCGGGCTCCAGATCAGGATGGTCGTGTCGCTGGAAGCTGTCATGATAAACTTTCCTGGGGGGGGGGGGGACGGAGGTCTAACACTGTGAAAGAGTTAAAGCCCTGACAATCCCTGACTAAGATACATAAAAACTTTACTTTCATTTTTTCCTGAGTTTTTCTTCCCCTGCAAGGATGGTTTTAGCAATTTGCTGAGCAAAGTTGATAAACAGATAACATCTTGCCTGACATTAAGGAGACAAAGCTCCAGCCATCAAGGAGACACCTCCAGTACACAACTGATTGTTACAAAAGGTCGCACCACAAAAGGGGCCCTGCCTTGTGCTCAAGAAGAAGGATTCAACTAGTCAACAGTGTGAGGAAGACTATGAACGCCGGGAACTCATCACCATAAGACTGCCCTTCTCGGGAAATCTGATGAATATGCATGATTTTTGTGTGTATGAACCGATGTGTTTTGCTAACCCGCTGGAGCACGGACGGAAGGAGCCATCCCCCGTCCTGCCCGGCGCCGCAATAAAGAATCCCTGCTGGATAACACCGAGTTGCTGTTGAGTTTTCTTTGATTCAACTGTCACAGACTTGTCAAAGGCCTAGATCAGTCCCGCAGCAGGGCGACCTCTCCCTGAACCCGGACAGTCAAGTGGCACCAAGATTCAAGGAGTGCAAATCCCCTGGGGTCCGAGCAGAGAGCAATCTCAGAAGATTCAGCTCCTGGTTGTGCCTTAGCGCACCCTCGGCATCAGCAGCCACCAGCTGGCCACGGGTGCTCAGAGCCCACGCGCGCTTCTCGCCCCAGCAGCCCTCAGGTCCCCCCTGCAGAGCTCAGCTGGTACCACAGCACTGAGGCAGCAGATACCCCACCCTCCCCAAACGGCTGAAACTCGAGGTACCCCAGCTTTCGAGTCACGGGTTGCAGGCAGGTCACTGCAACTATCCGTGGTGGCTGCTTGTGTCAGCATTTTGGACTCCTCCTTGTTTCCCCTTGCAATGCTTTCCCCTTTTCCACCTCAGCCCAGAGAAGGAGTTGCCTGTTTTACCTTTCAGCTACTTGTTGCAGGGTTAAGTTTTCAGTTTCAGGGCTGAACAAAGGTCTCAGTTAACATCATCTCCGCTCTCCTATTACGGAGGTGAATTCACATCCACCCACTCCCAACTGCCCGCTGTCACATAACTGGAGAATTAATCCATCAAGCCCTCACCACTAACACATACCCCCACCCCCAGCCTCTGTTTTCTGGAAGATCCCAGAAGTCCAAGACAGACCATACGAACTCACTAGAGAGATTTTTGGCTGGTTAAAGAGAGACTGGTGGGACAGAACAGCGACGCTCTCAATTTGAGACCAGATCTCTTTTGCAACAGCATCCCTGAAAATGTCAATGAGGAGACTGGGCACATCAGGGAGCGGTTCTGTGCTTACAGGAACATAACCTGCCTGAAAAATTACATCCTTCAGTTCACTCAGTAGTAAAAAAATGCTGAAAAGGAACCTAAGAGACTACAGAGAATCAACTACTAGTGCAGAAATCGGCCTTGAGAATGCCAAAACCCCCGACACTTTCAACCCAGCAGCTCTTGCTTTACAAGGAAGCCAGAGCTGATCTCAAGCCTCAACAAGTTAACAGCTCGCTTCCATACCTGTCTCTGCAATTCCGATGTTAATGACAGGAGCCTTGTGCTTCTTCGGGAAGTCCCCAGCAGCTGCAGTGAAGGTGAAGCTGCCATCATCCTTCTTCGTCATTTTATAGACACGGACAGTCTCGCCATTTGCCAGCCAAACAATGAACGCCCTGGGGAAGGACAGACACCCTGAACCCCTCAGACACAGGCGATCTCAGCTCAGCCTGGCTACCACAGGCAAGCTGACAGGTCATTCAGTGGCACCTGGGGAAAGGGACAAAAAGCTGTGTGCTTTACGAGGGCACCCAGTTCTCTCCCTGGGTTAGCTCAACTGCAACACTGAAGGGAAAAGAACAGGATTTATTACCCCACATCTGGAAACGAGATCCCTTCCTCCCTCCGAAAGAGGCCGCTTCACAAAGGGCCAAGACGTGGTTTTCCACCCCCCTCCGCAGCCAGCAAGAACTCAGCCCAGCTGCAGGGCCTCCTCCAAGGGCATAACAAGCACCTCCCGGGGGGCACAGCAAGGGGGGCACTGGGATATGTGCCCAGAGAGCCACATTAAAGTGCCAGCTGCTTTCCCAACAGCCCACGGATCAGGGGCACTGTTAAGACCTCGCGAGGGATGTCACCGCCACGCAGCCCGGAGGACACACCACTAACCCCCAGCAAGGCTCGGGCTACGTGACCGGCAGCTCTACCCCCAGGACATCCCGGTGCCCCCCCCGTACCCCCCAAGTGGTCTCTGGGCTTGTTGACGAAAGGTCGCCGTCACGACAAACTTATCCACACCGCGGCAGAGACGCCGGCACTGCTGTACGGCAGCGCTGGGGAGCGCGGGGGGGGCTCCTCCTGATGGGCTTCAGGGTTACATTGAAAATTCAGCATTTTATATCCTTTTTCTGCAAAGTCCTGGTCTTTAACCTGTTTTAACATCAGCCTGCGTGTTATGCCAGCTGTTAATTTTGACATTGACAGTGATTGGTCCGCCCTATTAACTAACTTCATTGATATTCCTGTACTAATATAATCACTGGTTATCTTACTGATCCAGATCTCTGATATACAAATTAGGATGGGGAGGAGGTGAGGGTCTTCACCTGAACATTCCTTTGTTTCTATGCTTTCATCCCATAAGATAACGTGCCAAGAACGGGCACTTTCCCTCCCTGTCCCTGTCTCCCTGCCTCCCTGTTCTTTTCCGGACAATTTCACCCCCCGCAGCAGCTTTAGCTTTGACCTTCTTCGTAAGGCAGCAGCTGCTGTCTCTGAGCATCAGTGAGGTTTTGGGTATTTCGTACTATAATGTAAACTGAGCGAATTAATACAAAACATTAGTTATTCCTTAAAGCAATTAAGTCATTCATTAAAAGCAATTCGTTATCCGTGAAAAGTAATTATCTATTCAAAATCCAAACCTGATTATAACAGGCTGGGGGTGGGTGAGGTGAGGCCTGGCCCTACCGTGAGTCGGGGCTGAGGCGGACCAGCTCGGCGTGGTCCAGCCCCACGTTGGCCCGCAGGCAGCGGTGCTCCCGCGCCGTGAAGTCCCGGGTGCTCCACAGCCGGACCGTACGGTCGTCGGCGCACGACGCCAGGTACTTCCCGCTGCTGCTGAAATCCAA